TTGTGAGGGTGCAGATCCTGGAGCAGCTTCCCAGAGAGGCTGTGGAGTCTCCTGCTCTGGAGAGATCCCAAACCCTCCTGGCGGTGACCCTGGGCACCCTGCTGGGGCAGGGGGTTGGAGGAGATCTCCAGAGGTGCCTCCCACCCCCACCCTGCTGGGATTGTGGGGTTCTCTGTGTGCCCACACCCTCCCCTCCTCCCAGCCCAGCAGCAGCAGCAGGCTGAGAGCTGAGCTGTGGAGCAGGAGCTGCTCACCCTGCAGCCTGTCCCACTGGGAGGAGGTTCCCTTGGCAGAGTGAACAGCCTGAGCACTAATGGTTTTTAGGAAGCTGCAGAATCAGTGAGCACCAGCTAGATCCTCCCTTCCAGAAGGGCCTTCTGCCTACCTGAGGCTGCAGGGAACAGCCCCCTGAGGGGGAGGGGGAAGGAAACACCACCCACCCTGCAGGCAGCAGCCAGGGCCTGCTGAGGGCAGTGGGCTGGAGGGTGACCCAAGCAGAACCACATCTGCCAGCACACGTGGGGTTTGCTCTCCAGCCCCAGGGCAGAGGGAGCTGCCAGCAACTCTGGCAGGGAGGGGCAGATCTACCCCACCCCAGAGGGCTGGGGCCAGGGGGCAGAGGGAGAGAGGGCTGGGGCCAGGGGGCAGATGGAGCCCCCACCAGCTCTGGCAGGGAGGGGCAGATCTACCCCACCCCAGAGGGCTGGGGCCAGGGGGCTGTGGGCTCCTGGGGGCACAGCAACTGCAGGCAGCTCAGGAGGAGGACAAGGGCTCATCCTTGCTCAGGGGGGGCAGCTGGCAGGAGCAGGGGGAACCCCACAGGGCAGGGAGCCCCCCTCCTACCTCTGGTCTGGATCCTGAAGTTGATCTTGCTCTCGGAGGGGTGGGTGATGCAGTAGCCACAGAACTCCACGTCAGGGCTGCAGGAGGGCAGAGGGGAGAGAGCAGTGAGAACCAGGGCAAATCTCAGGGTGCTCAGCTGCTCCTGCAGTGACTGAGGGTTCTAGAGGAGGGATATGCTGGAGGGAAACCTGTGAGAGCTCGTTCACACCCCCCACCAAAGCCCTGAGCTGCAGCTGGAGCTCTGCAGGGGAAGGACACAGCCAGAGGCACCAGCCTGGCCCCACCAGCAGAGCTGCAGAGCTCAGAGAGGGGATCCTGGGGCTTGGGAGCCTCCCTGCTGCAGCTCTGCTGGGCAAAAGGAGCCTGAGGGGGGGGTAGGACACTGTGGGGATGGACCCCAGTGGTTTGGAGGCTGCCCAGGGTCTGTCCCCACAGGCTGAGCTGGCTGTGTGCCCAGCAGAGGACAGCCTGCTGCTTTCCTTGCCAAGGCAACTGGCACCTGAGCTGCTGCTGCTGCCCTCCCCTCCCTGCTGGGATGCTCCTCAGGCTCACCAGGAGCTCCTCCCAACCCCACAGTGCTGCCCAGCTCAGCAGGATCAGGCAGCCAGGGGGGAACCCTGTTTGTGTCCTCTGCTGAGGGCAGCAGGACCAGGAGCTCCCAGCA